CCCCGCCCCCTCTTGTTCGATTACAGCTGTCCTGCTTGGCTGACCTGAACACCGCTCGACCCAGTTTTCCCTTCGCGGGCAATATAGCCACGACTACTCCGAGAGGCACTTGAATACGTCACCTCCCTCCTTTTCGGACCTCCACATGAAAGCGGACTAGAGGCAGCAGCTTTTGAGCTTCGTTGATTTGAACACCTTTTCCCGCTGACAGATTATATTGCCTCTGTACACGAACCGCCCCCTTTCCGCACATTGTTTCAGACCAATCGGATGCCAAATGAACTGCCTCCTGGCGTCAACTAAAAGCAACCGTCGCCCCCTATCTCACTGTCACACACACGTTCTCCCGAGACTGGTTTCGCCATGTGTGGCGGTGTTGAACGTGTGTTGTTTGCTTGTCTGGAGTCAGACGATTCGACCGACTCCCTTTATTCGTGATTGTGTGTATCCATTGTTGAGGATTGTACTTCGTTAATACTTTACTAGTTATTTAATAGTAGTGTACTACCTTGATAGTCGTTTTCATTGGGATTTGAGGTACGCGTTACTGCTGGATATAAAGTCGGATGAATCAAAAAACACGACATACATGCTGTGTGCAGATCAAATTAGTGAGGAAGGTTCTGTTGTGAGTAGTTTGCCTGGGATGCCTTGCCATCTGCAGTAAGATGAAACAACCAAATAACCTTTTATTTTCCTTTTTGTTCAACCATCACCGTTATTCAGGGGAAAAGAAGAAGTCTAACGAACCCCTGGCGCTGGCAGCTCTGCACAATTTTGACCAGCTTGTCCCAGGAAACTGCCTAGTGCCGGAACACGTGGAGATGCGAAAGTTGTTGCATCCAGAGAAGGGTAGTTTGGAACAAGGACGACTTATGATGTGGGTTGATATGTTCGACAAGGACCTTGGAAAGCCGCCAGAACCGGTGGACATCACACCAAGGGCACCGGAGAAGTGGGAACTCCGTGTCATAATCCACAATACAGCTGACGTGAGTCATTTACACTCTGCGCAACTATGTTTGCCAGTCCCGCTTGCGTTTTTTCCTATTTAAGTTGTCAATGATTAGTTTTGCTACTCGGTCCGCATAGTAGCTCGTCTGTCATACCTGATGAACGCTGTCACTGCCTGAGAAAGCGGCGGCAGCGACTATCAGGTAAATGGGTGTGTGGGATATGATGCGGTCCGGCTGGATAATAGACGATAAACCGTATCCCAACATTTCTAAGTTGGTAGATA